CCCCAATCACAGCACGCCCGCTCCGAGCTCCGCTCCCGCCCCTTCCGTCCGCGCAGGCGCCGGTGGCTGAGGGGAGGGCGGCAGAGGCCGGGCCGGGCCGCCGCTCCGCCCGCCCGCCCGGTGCCCACGGGCACATCATGAAGGCGGCGCGGCTCCTCCTCCACCACCACCCCCCGCTGGGGCCGCTCGCCTCGCGGTGGCGCTGGGTAGCCCCCGAGCGGGTCGGGAAAGGGCCGCTCCCGCCGCAGCCCACGGGATACGGGCCGCCGCCGCCGGGCTGGAGGCCGTTCAGCGGCTCACAGGCCTCCTGCAAGTTGCCCGGTGGGCACCCGAGAGGGAGTGATGCGGGCAGCTGTGCTGGAGCTGTCAGGGAGGAGGAGGAGGAGGATGACGACGACGAAGGCGTGGAGTTCGGGACGCTGTCTAATAAATTCTCTTCTAGAAAATATTATCACAAAACCACATCGCGCTTTCAGAATTTAAAGCTTCAAGAAGAGGGAGAGGAGGAAGAACCGGAGAGGAAACCTCGACGCGGCCCTAAGAACACCCCGTATTGGTACTTCTTAAAATGCAAGGCCCTCATCAAAGAGGACAAGGTTCGTTCCCTGCTCTTCACTTACTTATTTTTTTAATAGTGTCGATGAAAGATGCAGCTCTGTCCCATCTGTATCATAAAATATCTTTACATAAAGAAGTAAAATAAGAATTTGTGAGGAATCCCATACTCTGTCCTTTCTACCACAACCTGCCCACAGCTGTGTATATTAATATCCATTGTAATTGGTTCTGTTGCTGCCTCACCATGGACCTTCCTCTTCCCTGTAGCTGGCGGAGGCTCTGGAGCTGTTTGAGGTGCAGATGCTGAAGGAAGAGCGTGTGCAGCCAGAAGAAAGCAATTACACCGTTCTAATTGGTGGCTGTGGCAGGGTTGGCTACGTGAAAAAGGCATTCAGGCTCTACAATGATGTAGGTTTACCTTCTCTCTCAAACCTTCATTACCTCTTGTAAGTTAAAAGTATTTGGTCATGTTACTTTGTCTCCAAAATGCCTCCATGTCAGTGTTTGTACCTTCTTAGCCTGAAACTCTTAAAAACAAGTTAAGAAATTCTAGAAGTCCTTTCCTAAAAAGCCAATTCAAATTCTTCTTCTCTTTCCTTAGATGAAAAAACGAGGCCTGACCCCCACCGAGGCCACGTACACAGCCCTGTTCAATGCCTGTGCTGAGTCGCCCTGGAAGGACTCGGGCCTGCAGAGCGCTCTGAAGCTACGGCAGCAGCTGAAGAGCAAAAATGAAGAGCTGAACCTGCTCACGTACCACGCGCTGCTGAAAGTCTGTGCCCTCTGCTCAGATCTCAGGATGTGCTTTGATGTACTGAAGGTAAAGGCTTGACTTTTCTTGCATTAAGGGTAGTTTGCTCTGGTTAAAGCTGCTGGAAGATGCCATATTGCATAGACTCTCTTATTTCCAGCAGAGATAATTTGAAATCACATGTTTATATTTCATTGATCCTTGGTCTCATACAACAAAATTGTCTTGGTACACACCAAACGTTAAGCTTAAGTGCGTAAAAGGAGGCAGCTGCAGATGTTGGCTTTAAAACTCCAGTCAGGTGTATCAGACTTATCAAACAAAGTTTGGGGGGAGTTCACGGCTACTGTCTCTGTCTCCATTCCTCACTTTGAAGATTCATATTGATACCTAGCTCCTTTTAGAGCTCTTCCAGCAGCTCTTCTCAGAAGGGCCAGTCTGGGAGGAGCTGAAAGGATTGTTGGTCCTGTCCCTAAATTCCCTGTAGCTCCTGTCGGGAAGAAACTAGAATCTATGGAGGCATTTTGTGGCTCTTTTCCTCTTGGAGCAACCATTCTGCTCACAGCACTGGGACTTCACCCAATGCTTTGTTGCTGTCATATCACCAGAAGACAACAGCGATATTTAAACTTTGCGATATTTAAGCTGTGACAGACTGTTTGGGTAACTGGAAAGTTTAAGCTCTCTCTGCTCTTCTAGGAAATAGTGCACAAGGGCCATGTTCTCACAGCTGAGACCTTCAGCTTCCTTCTCATGAGCTGCATAAAGGACAGGGAGAACGGCTTCCGATACGCCTTACAGGTATGTCTTCATGGCCTAAGTGGGGAGGAAAGAGCAGGTTCTGTGTTGTAACTCCTCACTTGAAGGCATGAAAAGCTCTGAGCAGGTTGCTCAGAGCTGATGAAGTAGAAGGAGTTCAGCTCCTCCTAGGACAAGTTCTGTAAACTAGACTTTTGCTTTAATACCACGTCCATCTGGTGTTCATCTTCCCCTCTTCAGGTTTGGAAACAAATGACTAAACTCGGAATAAAGGCCGACAGCCACACGTACAATCTGATGCTGCGTGCAGCCAGGGACTGTGGGATAGGTGATCCAGCCGTGGCTTCTGAGCTCCTGCTCGCACCCAGCCATGAGAGCTCACCTCAGCTAAGGCTTGCTCCAGGGAGGCAGAAGGAAAAGGTGAGAAATCAGAAGAAGAAGAAGGAATCGGAGAGCGCAGCTGCTGTCCAGCTGGATGTGGAAGCTATGGAAAAGCAATTATTTCAGGAGAGTTCGGTGAAGCCTGAAGAACTGATCCAGCAACCAAATAAAGATGTGACTGGAGCTGAAACAGAACCAGCTGCTCTCGACAGCCCCAGCGTAGCTCACAGCAGGACTGGAGCGTTGGTGAGGAGAAGCCAGACCAAGATGGAGCAGGAAGGAGCACTCCTAAGCCAGAAGCAGCATTTCTGCAACCTGCCCAACTTGCTGGATTCCAGGATGCCTGACGCAGCCGTGGTTTCCTTGGGGACAGTGGCCACACCATCCGATCGACTGGCTTTGATGGGGGATGTGGAGGGCTTCTTGAGTAAAATGAAAGAGGACAATGCAGAACCCAACATTAAAACGTTTACGTTACTGGCTGAGCTGGTGGAACCCCAAAGCCCCTCAGAGTCCTCTTTGCTGGCACTCCTAGACGAGCATAAAGTGAAACTAGATGTCACCTTCTTTAACACTTTAATAAAGAAGAAAAGTAAACGGGGAGACCTGGAAGGAGCAAAGGTGAGGGAAAAAACCACTCAGAACTCTCTCTGTCACCACCTCTTTGTCTCAGGCCTCCAGCAGGACCTGTGTTTTGTTGCAAGACCTGTTTCTCTCTCCACAATAGAAACCGAGGATCTCACACTGTTTTCCACAAACCAGCGATTGGGTTAATTTCTTAGTATTTATGGATTCTATTCTAGCATCTTTAGCTCTGTCTGGAAAGCTACAGGGAGACTTTTTGGAAACTGATGGCAGTGCTTGTATCTTGCAGAGCGTGCTGCCAGCTCTAGTGAAGAGGGGACTGTCACCCAACCTCCAGACCTTTTGTAGCCTGGCAATGGCTTGCCACCGAGAGAAGGATGGACTGCAGCTACTCTCAGATTTGAAGGTAAAATGCTGCTTCAGGAAGAGGCAAAGTGAAGCGTTAATGCTTATAAAAAAGACCTGTTGAGGTTTCTGTGGCAAGTAGTTGTGTTCTCACTCCAATAACATGCAGTTCTAGAGGTGCCATCTCAGGGGGGCTGTCCTAAAGGGGCAGGAGAGGGTTCACAGGAAGAGGGTGCTGGCACTGGAGAAGCTGCTGCAGTGGAACAAGAGCCTTGCTCCTTGTGCATGAAGTACCCACGTGCCTTTTCCTTCTATTAGCCCTGCGCTAATTGGTAAATAAACAAGTTTAACTGTAGCGTTTGTTGTTTGCAGAGGTCTGGAGTAACTCCCAACAAGTACATCTACAGCACCCTCATTGCTGCTGCCGTGAGGCAGCTGGATTACAGTTACCTCACGGAGATCCTGCGAGACATGAGGAACACCCAGGTGCCTCCCAATGAAGTTATCATACGCCAGCTGGAGTTCGCTGCACAGTACCCTCCCAAATTTGACAGGGTAAGTAGCCAGGATCAGTCACACTGTGAAGGTGACACAGAGGACACCAACAAGGGAGGGGAAATACAGACACTGCTTAAATCATTTTTCTTTGGGTTTGTCTGATCTGCTTGACAGTTGAGCCATTTCTTTAGTAGCAGCTATCGTGCGCTGGTACTGAAACAAGATCTCTTCTAATAGAAACTCGTTTTGTTGGGTTTTTGTTTGCAGTATAAGTCAAAGAACCCATACCTGGAGAAAATTGACGGTTTCCGTGGCTACTACTATCGGTGGTTAAAAGTGATGGCAGGAGAGGAGACCCCTCACCCCTGGGAAAAATACAGAACAGTGAAACGTGCGGCGGTGGATGACAACAAGGAAGAGGCTGAGCAGGAGCAGCCAGGGCAGAAGTAGCATCGAGCAGGATGCTGAAGTTCTGCATTTTTCTTGTGCTGGAAGAACGTGGAACTTGCTCCCTTAAACTGTTTTGTAGTAAAGCTGCTTCATATTTCCATTTTTTTCTGGTTGATGACACTGAGCAGGAGCAGCCAGGGCAGAAGTAGCAGTGAGCAGGATGCTTAAGTCCTGCATCTTTCTTGTGCTGGAAGAACATGGAACTTGCTCCCTTCAACTGTTTTGTAGTAAAGCTGCTTGATATTTTTTTTTTCTAGTTGATGACGTAATAAAATAATTGTCCTTTGTTTAAAGGAGAAGCAAATACGTTTCAAGAGCATTTCCTTAAACTGCAGAGGATTAGAAAGACTGTAGTTTAAAAACAAGGAAGAAGTAAAATCAGATTTAACAGTGGTTTAGCTCAGTGCTAGTTTTGTTTCTTTCCTGTGTTCTGTGTGTATCTGGGCACTTAATGTGAGACCTGCAAGTCTCTGAACTGCTGCCATTCCTGAATGGATCTACATGCTAATTCTGGGTTGCAAATCTTAGCAGAGAGTTCCAGTGAAATCTAGCTTCCTTCTACACAAGATAAGGGGACAGCTTGAACCAGACTGGACATTTGAGGATTATTTCCTTTCCACGCAACCTTTTAAATTCAGTTATTTGAGAAAAGGGGATAAGAGATGCTTAAAAACCACCCCCATTTAGAGCAACCTTCAAACAAACCAACCAGAACACACCCAACAGTAGAAGAGGGGCGTAGAAACGTTTTGCCAGAAGATCACACCACTCTCTCAGGAGGGCAGACTACCTGCAAGTCTCTGAACTGCTGCCATTCCTGAATGGATCTACATGCTAATTCTGGGTTGCAAATCTTAGCAGAGAGTTCCAGTGAAATCTAGCTTCCTTCTACACAAGATAAGGGGACAGCTTGAACCAGACTGGACATTTGAGGATTATTTCCTTTCCACGCAACCTTTTAAATTCAGTTATTTGAGAAAAGGGGATAAGAGATGCTTAAAAACCACCCCCATTTAGAGCAACCTTCAAACAAACCAACCAACCAAAACACACCCAACAGGCATTTAGAGCAACCTTCAAACAAACCAACCAGAACACACCCAACAGTAGAAGAGGGGCGTAGAAACGTTTTGCCAGAAGATCACACCACTCTCTCAGGAGGGCAGACTTTATTTTAAAATAAATGGCTACACAAAAACCTACTCCAACACAACCACCTTTGCAAATACGATCCAGGCGAATACGTTACTGCTTTAATTGCTATACAGAAATATCCACTCACGCAGAAAGCGGCTGTGACTGTCCATTGTGCAGGATGAAATCCCTCAGAATTCCAAAAGTAGTCTTATGGCTAAAACAGCTTCACCCAGAACAGCCTCTGCATCCACAGTGAGTGCATTCAATGATTCTCCCCTGGAAAAGAGACACGAGGAGGGAATTTCAGCCCCGGCAAAAAACCTACTCCAACACAACCACCTTTGCAAATACGATCCAGGCGAATACGTTACTGCTTTAATTGCTATACAGAAATATCCACTCACGCAGAAAGCGGCTGTGACTGTCCATTGTGCAGGATGAAATCCCTCAGAATTCCAAAAGTAGTCTTATGGCTAAAACAGCTTCACCCAGAACAGCCTCTGCATCCACAGTGAGTGCATTCAATGATTCTCCCCTGGAAAAGAGACACGAGGAGGGAATTTCAGCCCTGCGGTGAGCAGACAGACCCGCAGGCTCGAGCCTCAAGGCAGAGAAAGGGTCAGTGTGGGAAGGGTTTCTACCATCTAGTTTTCTGTTGTTTCCCTTTATTTTAACAGCTTGAAACCGCTACATGCCAAACCTGACAGTAACTTTGGAACCAATTAGGTATCAACCCCGCCAGCAAAAGGCAGAAAATGTTGGAACTAGTGGGAATGACCAGGAAGAACACCACCATGATCTCCTCTGCTGTCCCTGACCTGGGAGGAGCGAGAGCGGGTACTGAGAAGGTCCAGGCAAGGAGAGGAACAAGCTGAAAAACCCCTTACCACTTCCAGCTTGCTTTTAGGGACCCTGCAGATGCAGTTGGTTCCGAAGTTGGTGTCGCGCGTCTGGATACAGCGCAGGCAGCAGAGGTTCTCATAACCCTGTTTCTTCCACTTGGCAATCAGGTTTTTGTCAGCGTATCCTTCCTTGATGCAGTACTCATAGAGCTCTGTAGAGGAGCAGACACCATCACAAAGAGCTCCCAGGAAGTGCTAGAAGACTCGTTATCAGGAATTACTGGCTGTAGTAACTAGCAGTTAAAGCTAGTCCAGCTTTTCCCTCCATTTTCCCTCCCCAAATCTCCTCTGCTGTCCCTGACCTGGGAGGAGCGAGAGCGGGTACTGAGAAGGTCCAGGCAAGGAGAGGAACAAGCTGAAAAACCCCTTACCACTTCCAGCTTGCTTTTAGGGACCCTGCAGATGCAGTTGGTTCCGAAGTTGGTGTCGCGCGTCTGGATACAGCGCAGGCAGCAGAGGTTCTCATAACCCTGTTTCTTCCACTTGGCAATCAGGTTTTTGTCAGCGTATCCTTCCTTGATGCAGTACTCATAGAGCTCTGTAGAGGAGCAGACACCATCACAAAGAGCTCCCAGGAAGTGCTAGAAGACTCGTTATCAGGAATTACTGGCTGTAGTAACTAGCAGTTAAAGCTAGTCCAGCTTTTCCCTCCCCAGAAACCTGATCCTTCCCACCAACGCCCCAGTTCCAAGCAAATATTTTATTCCTTTCTGTTTTCCCCTGTCCAGGCCTCCCCAGAAACCTGATCCTTCCCACCAACGCCCCAGTTCCAGGCAGATATTTTATTCCGTTCTGTTTTCCCCTGCCTAGGATAAAGCATTTGTGCTCCAGGGGAAATCATAGAATCATAGAATGGTTAGGGTTGGAAGGGACCTCAAAGATCATCTAGTTCCAACCCCCCTGCCATGGGCAGGGACACCTTCCTCAAATCAAAATTTCAAATCATTTGCACTCCTCACCTCTGCTGATGGCTTTTCTTTTATAGAAGAGATCAAAGATGTAACGTGTTTTCTGGTGATGGATTCTGAAGATAGGCCAAAGGGATTCCACTTTCCTCTTCCCTTCGTGAGGCTCGGTCTCCGCTGGGCGGGAACACAAACACCAGGTTTTAGCTGACTATTTCAGGTGGCCAACTTAGGTCTTTAGTCACTTTGCAATAAACTGTTCTAAGACCCTTCGTAACTTTTAATACATTAGAGAGATGACTGAATTTAATGAGAGAAGATTCAAATGAGAGGGACCTGACCTGGAACAACTCCTTTAGGAAATGAAAACAGGACAGCAGTGACCCACAGTGGGATGGCAGGTGACTTCATGGCTGCCCTGGCTCGTCAGACCAGAGCAACTGCACAGACAAGAACTGCCAGTCCCTCCACACACACACTGGGGAACTTCACCCAGGGCTCAGCCATGGTGGGCCCTAAAACAACTGTACAACAAACCTCTGTGCTCTGGAATCTGGGTACACCCAGAGAAAAGCTCCCAGTACTGGCCTAATCCCAGCCTGCAGCATCACTGGGAGGCAGAGAGATAAAAAATAGTCCATCTATATTCGCGGGGGGAGCTGTGCTTCCAGATTAGCTGGTTTCAAGGGTCACCTCCCTGAGAAGAGCCAGCTCTGCCCCTTTACCTTCTCTCATCTTCTGATCCAGCTCATCCAGCGTTGGCTCAATCAGCTCCCAGCCATCCGGGGGAGGCTTCCTGCTCCTCTTCACTTTGGGCATGGCCTCGGGAATGAGGGTCTGCCTGCACTCAAACGCGTGGGTGCTTCACTGTCCTGAAAACCACTGGAAAAAAACGAAAGGAAAGCTCCTGTGAGCGATATTTCTCCCAAAATTTCTGGCCCCCTTTGCCATTACCCACTTGGATGATAAAAACGAGCTTTATGGAGCTGGTGAAAGAGGCAAAACCTCGCTCAGCGCGGCCCTGGCGATACCGGCAGCCCTCGAGGTGCGGGCTGTGCCCGTCCCAACACGATAAAACGCTTTTTTCTCCTCAGCGAAGTGAGGAGGCGGCGGCGACCGCCCCTCCTCCACCCCGGGCTACCCCAGCTCCTACCGAAAACCCGGGAGAAGCCGCCCGGCCCCCGCCAGCCCCAACCCTGCGGCCGGCCCGGGACACGGCAGGTCTCCCCGGGCCGCTCCGGGAGCGGAGGGGGAAGGCCGCAGCCCCCAGTCCCGCTTACCTACCGGGGGGCGCCGCTTCCGCTCCGCCGTCACCCGCGGGGCCTTCCACACCCGGGCTGCCCCGTAGCCCCGCCCCTCTGGGCTGCCCTCGGCGCTGCCTGACAGAAATCCCCTCCGCCCTGCGCGCCGCCGCCTCGGCCCGGGCGGGGCGGAGAACACGTCTCTCCGCCGGGAGAAGCGGCCCCGCAAAACGCTTTTTTCTCCTCAGCGAAGTGAGGCGGCGGCGGCGGCGGCGGCCGCCCCTCCTCCACCCTGGGTTACCCCACAGCGCCAACTTCCGCCAGCTCCTACCGAAAACCCGGGAGAAGCCGCCCGGCCCCCGCCAGCCCCAACCCTGCGGCCGGCCCGGGACACGGCAGGTCTCCCCGCGCCGCTCCGGGAGCGGAGGGGGAAGGCCGCAGCCCCCAGTCCCGCTTACCTACCGGGGGGCGCCGCTTCCGCTCCGCCGTCACCCGCGGGGCCTTCCACACCCGGGCTGCCCCGTAGCCCCGCCCCTCTGGGCTGCCCTCGGCGCTGCCTGACAGAAATCCCCTCCGCCCTGCGCGCTCGCTGCAGCTGCCGCAGCCGCCATCGCCGCCGCGATGCCGAAAGGAGGTGGGGAACGTGGGCGGGCCGGGAGGGTTCGTCCCTGCGGGGGTGGGAGCGGGCTGAGGGGGTGTAGGACCCTCAGCCCCCCCCGGGAGGGGCGTGGGGGGGAGGACCCGGCCGTGGAGGCCCGGGGCGGGCAGGGCTCGTTCTCCCCCCGCCCCCGGTCTAGAAGGGAGGTCTCTTTCCCTCCTCTCCCCGGCCCTGGGGAGCGCGGCGGGGGGGCTCCTTCCCCCCCATCTGGGCTGCGGAGGGAGGTCCTGGTGCCGCACCCCCTCCGTGTGGCTGCCGCGGGGGGAGGTCTCGGTTTCTCCCCCCAGCCCGCTCGTGGGGGGCTTCGGGGGCAGCCTCCCCTTCCCCCCAAAATGGGAGATTCTCCTCCTTTCTTACAGATCCGGGGTGGGTGAGGGTGTGTGGCCCCTTCTGTGGCCCCCAAGAAGCGCCATGGGATGGCAGCAGGCCCGGGTGGTGGCCGGGCCGTGGGGTGCCAGCTCCCCGCGTGGCACCGGGACTGGTCTGGGCCCCATGTGCTCCCCGCTGGGCTGGAAGCTCCAGCCGGTTCTCCCGGGACAGGGCTTGGGGCACCCGGATGCCTGGGGAGGGGAGTTTACGGCTACGCTGTGGATCCCGGGGAAGGAGGGGGGGGGGGCACAGGCGCTGTGTGGGGTCTGAAGGCCTTCCCCTCCCGGGGGTTCAAGGGTAGAGGCCTCGGGGCCGGGTACGGGGCATCTGGGCGGCTGGGCAGAGGGTCCGGCCTTGAGGGGCAGCGTGGGGGGGTTTTGGGGGTGGTCTTTGGTCCAGGGGCTCCAAACGTGGCTCCTTTCATGTGGCTCTGGCTGCTCCACATCTGGGTGTTGCGGAGCGGGTACCGACTTGCTCGTGTGTGTGATTAAGGAGCAGTAATGAGGGACTGACGGGCTGTCAGGGCTGAGCTGGATCCACCCAGAACCTTCTCCAAATGCACCATCTGCATAATTGGCTCTTGTAGGAGCGTCGGTGAAACCTCAGCCATATACATTAATGTAAACTAGCCCTCGTCACTCCTCTTCTCTGTAGTTTGCTCCAATTTATTTCATCAGCGTTTTCCAGGCTTTTGTAGCAAATCTGCTTCCCTATTTAGATTTTCTTTAAGGGCTTTATTTTTTTATCCACTTGCACAGCGTTAGTAGACAGGGATGAAGCTTTGGCATATTTTTTGTGAAGGCAAAGAACTGTGGTAGGTTATAACCCTGGTTGCCATATTTAAATGCCCCGTAACTCAGGATTTCCTGCTCTGTATTTCATTGTAGAGTTTTAAATGTTCATTTGAAGCATTTTGCTTCTTGGGAAAAGTGGGATCTTTGCCCACCCCCCCAGGTCAGTAGGAGTTATTATATGGTGGAGCGGACTTTTGCACTCACTGTTTAATATAAAATGGGTAGGGGGAGGTGTCTAACCAGCCATTAATAAATTTTATTACAGGATTATTTCTCAGGATTTTGTTCTTTTTTTTTAATATCTTGAATCAAAAAGAGTGATTCCTTCAATATTATTTCATTCTCTTTGATTTATCTTCCATCATTTTTCTGTTTAAAGCTGAAGTCTTCGTATTTGCAGGCGTTCCTGCCACAGGCACCAGTGGTCTTTACTGCAGGTGAAATCTGCAGGCGATTATATTTTAAAAGTGCTTCACTGAGGAAGGGAAGAGTCATTATCCCTATTTTACAGATGGGGAAACTGAGGCACAGTGCTGACGTGGGTTGAGCAGTCCTACATCAGTGGCAGATGGAGGACCAGCACATCTCCTTGTCTCCCTGGAAGAGCAGAGGGACTATCCCTGCCCTGTGCTGAGCTCCAGCTCAAAGGGGCCTTACTTCCCTGTGTGCAGGCTCAAATATAGATGATATCGATTCACTCTTCAGTTTGCTTCTTTTTAGGCATTGAATATAATTTCTCTTGAGTTGCTTTTCCCCCCTTTATTACTGCTTTTTATTTGTGGTAATAAAGCTTTTGTTCTGAGCCCAGCTGGGCAGGAAGGCTGCCTGGCATCAGTTAAGCTCGTAGCACAGTGTTGTTTTGGTTTATTGAGGTTTTCCTCGGTGTTACGTGATGTGGGAGGGATATTACTGTTGTTGAAAGCAGAGTGCTGTCGTGTGCTGGGCAGTGAGGTAATGTCTCCTGGGCACATCTCCTTCCCGGAGGGTGTCAGTGTTGCCACGTGGGATGGTTGGGAACAGGCAAACAGAAAACACATGTCTTGGGTACAGCAAAGCTCTTGGTTGCACTTATGGCTTGGGTGCCCACCAGCTTCCACGGCTGAGCTCAGAATGAAGAATCTGCTCCCTGCACTGCCCCATTTCACGAGAAGAACCTCGCAGGGGTTGCTGAGCTCAGAATGAAGAATCTGCTCCCTGTATTGCCCCATTTCACGTGAGAAGAACCTCGCAGGGGTCTCTGCAAGGCTTCCCGGAGGGGTTTTTGAGATAATTTATTCCACAGCTCAGCTTTTACTGAGCTAGAAGGTATGAGAGCTTGTCTCTGCTGGGCCAGGAGGACTGGTTAGAAAATGTTGAATTTGTAAGGCGTGCAGGTGCTGCCTGCACTGGTGCTCCCTGCCCCTCCAAGCCCCGTAGCACAACCAGGCGTGGCTATGGCACAGCTGTGCAGTAGTGACAGATCTTTTCCATGTGTCCTGCACAGTCCCCAGGAAGGAGGGAGGATCCCCTCAGCCCTTTCCGTTGTCCTCGGCAGGTGAGGGGGAGAGAGAGGGAGGATTTCCTGCTCCTTCTGTCAGACTTCAAAGTAGCAGCAAAGAGCTCCCTGGCCTGAGCTGTTTGCTCTTTGCCAGTCTCGCACACGGGGTTTACCTTGAGTTCCCTAGCTCAAGGCTAGAGACTGGCTATTCAGCTTGTTCCTTGAGCTGTGAGAACATAAACAGAGCAGTCGCTTGCAGGAAGCATTAATGGCTTCAGCAATTCATTAATCAACAGAATTTTGAACTTGAGAGCAGACCTTAGCCAGGCAGCCCAGCCAGCTAAGCCGACTCTTCTCTTCCCTGACCTTCCTCTTCCGTAGAGCTTGTTTTTATTTTTCCTTATAAAGCAGTAAAACATGGAGGCTCCTTTTAGTAGTTCTTCAGCTCTGGTTGTAATTCCCAAAGCTTTTGTCCAATTAGCTTCCTATTTTCTCTTGGCACAGCCTTAGCATAGGGGAGGGGTTAAGGAGGCAAGCTCCTCGGAGAGCTGGCGGTGGCGGCGGTTGCCGCAGGAACGTGCTGTGATTCCTCCTGCGCAGGAAACGCAGAGAGCGGCCCTGGGACCCAGCAGCCCTTGCCAGGGGGGTGAATCAGAGAGGCCACGAGCACAGGCAGGGGTGGGCAAGGAAGGGTGGCATCACCAAGAGCTGAGGGGACACTTGGAATCTCGTTGCCTGGTGTCACGGCTCAGCGGTGGTTGAGGGACAGGAGTACCCCCTTTGGGCAGCACCTTCCTGGCTCCCTCTCTGCAGGACCAGCCTGTGCTTGATTTGGAGAACACTGTACAGCTAATAGGGCAGAGTGCTGTCGTGTGCTGGGCAGTGAGGTAATGTCTCCTGGGCACATCTCCTTCCCGGAGGGTGTCAGTGTTGCCACGTGGGATGGTTGGGAACAGGCAAACAGAAAACACATGTCTTGGGTACAGCAAAGCTCTTGGTTGCACTTATGGCTTGGGTGCCCACCAGCTTCCACGGCTGAGCTCAGAATGAAGAATCTGCTCCCTGCACTGCCCCATTTCACGAGAAGAACCTCGCAGGGGTTTCTGCAAGGCTTCCCGGAGGGGTTTTTGAGATAATTTATTCCACAGCTCAGCTTTTACTGAGCTAGAAGGTATGAGAGCTTGTCTCTGCTGGGCCAGGAGGACTGGTTAGAAAATGTTGAATTTGTAAGGCGTGCGGGTGCTGCCTGCACTGGTGCTCCCTGCCCCTCCAAGCCCCGTAGCACAACCAGGCGTGGCTATGGCACAGCTGTGCAGTAGTGACAGATCTTTTCCATGTGTCCTGCACAGTCCCCAGGAAGGAGGGAGGATCCCCTCAGCCCTTTCCGTTGTCCTCGGCAGGTGAGGGGGAGAGAGAGGGAGGATTTCCTGCTCCTTCTGTCAGACTTCAAAGTAGCAGCAAAGAGCTCCCTGGCCTGAGCTGTTTGCTCTTTGCCAGTCTCGCACACGGGTTTTACCTTGAGTTCCCTAGCTCAAGGCTAGAGACTGGCTATTCAGCTTGTTCCTTGAGCTGTGAGAACATAAACAGAGCAGTCGCTTGCAGGAAGCATTAATGGCTTCAGCAATTCATTAATCAACAGAATTTTGAACTTGAGAGCAGACCTTAGCCAGGCAGCCCAGCCAGCTAAGCCGACTCTTCTCTTCCCTGACCTTCCTCTTCCGTAGAGCTTGTTTTTATTTTTCCTTATAAAGCAGTAAAACATGGAGGCTCCTTTTAGTAGTTCTTCAGCTCTGGTTGTAATTCCCAAAGCTTTTGTCCAATTAGCTTCCTATTTTCTCTTGGCACAGCCTTAGCATAGGGGAGGGGTTAAGGAGGCAAGCTCCTCGGAGAGCTGGCGGTGGCGGCGGTTGCCGCAGGAACGTGCTGTGATTCCTCCTGCGCAGGAAACGCAGAGAGCGGCCCTGGGACCCAGCAGCCCTTGCCAGGGGGGTGAATCAGAGAGGCCACGAGCACAGGCAGGGGTGGGCAAGGAAGGGTGGCATCACCAAGAGCTGAGGGGACACTTGGAATCTCGTTGCCTGGTGTCACGGCTCAGCGGTGGTTGAGGGACAGGAGTACCCCCTTTGGGCAGCACCTTCCTGGCTCCCTCTCTGCAGGACCAGCCTGTGCTTGATTTGGAGAACACTGTACAGCTAATAGGCTGCTCTCGGCACTGCTGTCTCCAAAAACAGCTCAAGGGGAAAGGAGGAGTTTATTCTCCTTTCTATGGATCAATAATCCCAATTCTCTGGGTAATTTAACCAAAATTCTTGGAGTGTTTCGCTGAGACTGGCAAGTTCAATATGTCCTTTTTCCCTTGTTGTTTAGATTCTATCAAAGGAGCTATTTCGGTTTGTCCTGTCTGCCACAAAAATACAGAGAGTGCTGCAGGAGGAGTGGACCTTTCTGGAAGCTTATCACTAAAACACTTATTAATTTTTATAATTTTTTTTTGTACAGGTAGAAAAGGAGGCCACAAAGGCCGAGCAAGACAGTACACAAGCCCTGAAGAGATTGATGCCCAGCTCCAGGCAGAAAAGCAGAAGGCAAGGGTATGTGTTTGCCTGCATTGTGTCCTTGGTAGCATAAATCTCAGCTCCTACAGCTTAACTTCCACTTCGTGAGAAGCGGTGCCTTAGTCAAGTGGTGCAGGTTGTTCTGTCGGTGATCATGATATGAACTGATATGAACTCTGAGTATCTCTGACTGGGGAGACTGCAAGGTGAGATCCAGTCTGGTTCCTCACAGAAGTGAGGTAGCCCAGTTCTGCAGTAGACCTGGTAGACTACCACAGACCTCCCAGTTCACAACTGGAAGGTTAAAGGGTAGGGAAGATGACTACGCAGCAGCTCTGGGTATCTTTTCTCCCTGTATTTCACCATTCTAGACTCCAGCTCATTTTTTTATCCATGCTTTGCAGCTTAGCCGTGGAGGAAAAGGGCTCACATCTTGACATCTTAATATATACTGAAATTATTATATTTGCCCTCTTTCTCTTCTAGAGTTAAAACACCAAACTCCTTTGACTTCTTCCTGTACAAATGATTTTCTTGTTTGCCTCTGACTTGTAGGGAGAGATAACAGTTTTCTGGCGTGAGTCCTTTTTTGGACACGTTTCTGTGCCCCAACATAGGACTGTAACAGCTCCTCCCCGGGTTCTGCAGCTACCTGACTGCTGTTATAAAAGGCATGGCTACTTTTTGCAATCCTTGTTCCCTCGTATTCCCAAATTATCACAGCTACAATGGAACACTCTGCTATTTTTCTGTGACTTCCTGAAAGTGCTGCCTAAGCCAAAACAAACTATTCCTGCTGAAGCCTCGCAGCACTGACTACAGGAAGATAATTATACCCCACATAGGAAATACTGATGAATACCTCCCAGAAGAAGATTACTCTTTCAAGCAGTCATGAGCCAGATTGTTGATTCCTTTTTCATGTTTTGACCAGCTGTAACTCAAGAGGAGTGTGTGGTTTGCTGCTTAGCCACGTATTCCGACTTTATGTTGGATTTCTTCTTCCGAAGTGTAACTCCTCTTGGTTTGTTTTCTGATTCCACCTTCTTGGTTTCGTGCCATCTTTCCAAATTCTGAAACCACTTACGGGTCTGATCCTGTTTTCCAAAACGATTCCAACTCCTGCCAGTGCGATGTCATTCACAAACTCTGCAAGTGTGATGGAACAGGAACAGAACGAGCAGGACCCCACTTGGAATGTCTGTCCTGTTTCAAAACAAACCACAGAACTGCTCCTTGAGAAGAATTTCTTTTTCTTCTGTGATAGTCCATACTGCATACATCTAATGCTATTTCGTTAGGGAAAGCTTAAAGAAAAACCAATTAACAAAATTACTCCTCTCCCTGCCTGTAGCTCATCCACTTTGCCAGTTGCTCTGATCTGATGAGGGCTATTTGGCAATGGTAAAGCGAGCTATTCCCACCCATGTTGGTTCTTCTAATCTTTTTGGCAATGGTAAAGCGAGCTATTCCCACCAATGTTGGTTCTTCTAATCTTCTGATGATTTACAAATTAATTCCTAGACCTTTGACTGGTAAAAGCTGTGCTACAAAGGCTGTAATTTCTTGGATAATAGTGTTCTCGTTGATGGTTCTCAATTTGCTCTTCTCTAGGCTTTTTTTTTTAAATCTAGATCTAGGATGGGATCCAGCTCTACGCTACATCCCTGTAGTTTCCAGTCCCTGAGATACTCCTGTCTCCTGGAGATCTTTCTTTCAATTGGGGAAAGTCAAATGCCAGTTCTGTCTTTTACAGTCATTTTCCTGGCCTGTTATACAGGGAGACCAACGGAGTTGTTCAGAGGAGATCTGCTGGGGCAGGTGATGCATACTTGTGTGCTGAGAATGAGCTCTTGTTATGTGACAGCCGGGCACCTTTGGGGTCATAAGGGCTGTGTCAGGAACACCAGTGCCCTCAGAGCTGTCTCCCATCCCTCCAAAATGATCTCATTTAAGAGTCACCGTTGGATTTGGAATTTTTATTGACATACGTTTTCCCTAATTCCCTGTGATTTTGTAGGAAGAAGAGGAACAAGAGGAAGGAGGCGAAGGAGCAACAGGGGACCCCAAAAAGGAGAAGAAATCTTTAGATTCAGATGAGAGTGATGAAGATGACGAGGATTATCAGGTACTCTCATTCTCAGGGCACTTAATGTGTTTGCACCACCCAGATTCTTGGGGCAGGAGAGAAATGCACGCTCTTGAATCAGAGTTGTCTTTGAGAGCTACCTATAAGGTATTTTTTTTATGAAAGAACTGTTTTTAAAAGCCAAAAACCCCTTAATTTGTCAGCATTTTGTCCCCAGAATGAAAACTTTTGTATTTTTATAAGTAAAGTGCAAAAGCAAGATGTCAGAAAAGGCTGAAGGTGCCTGGTGGTGTAAATCTTGCTTCGTAAATGGGTTTGTTGTCTGGTGGTAAAAACATGTTGAATTCTGCTTTTGGGGCGTGTTGCAGCGTATTTGGTGAGCTCTGGTACAACCCAGCGTTGGGTGTGAGAGCACTTCTTGACCTTCCTCTTGTTCTTGAACCTTAGCAAAAGCGCAAAGGAGTGGAAGGGTTGATAGACATAGAGAATCCCAATCGTGTAATTCAGACAACCAAAAAAGTCACTCAGCTGGACCTGGACGGACCGAAGGAACTCTCACGACGAGAGCGGTGAGTCTTTCCCGCTGCCTCGGCAGGAGCTAACACCTTCCTGGAATTTCATCCTCCCGGGGAGGTGTTTCCTTGCTGCGTGTGCGTTGGTGGCTCAGGGATGCCCTTTACAGAATCACAGAATGATGTGGGGTTGGAAGGGACCTCTGGAGATCATCTAGTCCAACCCGCCCCACCAAAGCAGGTCCACCCAGAGCAGGTTGCACAGGAACGTGTCCAGGTGGGTTTTTAATGTCTCCAGAGACAGAAGCTCCACCACCTCTCTGGGCAGCCTCTGCCAGGGCTCTGCCACCCTCAAAATGAAGAAGTTCCTCCTCATGATTAGATGGAACTTCTTATGTTCATGTTTGTGCCTGTTTCCTCTTGTCCCATCCCTGGGCACCACTGAAAAAAGCCTGGCCCCATCCTCCTGACACCCACCCATTAAGTGTTTATAGGCATTTATTAGATCCTCCCTCAGCCTTCTCTTCTCCAGACTAAGAACACCCAAGACCCTCAGCATTTTCTTGGAGGAGAGATGCGCCATTCCCCTCGTCACCTTTGTAGTCCTCTGCTGTACCCTCTCCAGCACTTCCCTGTCCTGTTAAATGTGTTGCTTTCAAAGCAGATGCTGAACAGCAGCAAAGCATCAGGCGGGACTCACTGCGGTTCAAAATGTCTTTCCTGACAAACTTGACAGAAGTTTTCTGTCCTCTGTCCATCCTGGAGCTGGACAGCTTGTCTGGGTGCACTGAGAGTGGAGTTTGTTGCTGTGAAGCAGGTGTAGACCATTGCTTTCCTGAAGTTTTATGCCAAAAATCAGCTGTAACTGAAATGCATTAACCAGAACTCGCCTTGGGGCCTGCTTTAATCTTGCTCCAGGGTGTGCCCCAGTGACAGGTAGAGGTTTCGCAGATTCCAGGGGTCGTGGTGAAATTTTTGTCTGAGCAGATGAATAAGATGAGAAGCAAAATTTAATCTGGTAGTTTCATTTAGCGATGGATAGTTTCAGAGTGAAAAATTTAAGTTTGCTTATCTGGGATAGAGATTGCTTCGGCACCTTTGAGGGGAAGGCTGGGAAGAGCTGTGCAGTCTGGGGCTAATTCGTGTGACCTCGTTGAGTGTCAGTGTCCTTATTTAGCTGAACAAAGGCAGAAATAATCTCTCTCACCATCCCAGTTCAAACCCTGCGATAGATACAACCTGTGCTTGAAAACTGGTGACAGGAGCCCCCCGGTCTCTGTGGGAAATCCATCTCTGTCCTCACCATCCTTCCCCGTTGGAAAGCTCTCCCTTGCTCTGTGTGTTCACCGTTACGTGGATACGCTGGTGACTGGTGTGTTTCTTTCAAACAGGGAGGAAATAGAGAAACAAAAGGCAAAAGAAAGATACATGAAAATGCACCTAGCTGGTAAAACAGAACAAGCCAAGGCAGATCTCGCCCGACTAGCCATCATTCGGAAGCAAAGGGAAGAAGCTGCCAGAAAGAAAGAAGAAGAAAGAAAAGGTTAGAGAGTAATTAATCATACCCTCTTACTTCTCTTTGCGACGGCTGCACTGCCAAGAGCTGTGATTTCTCATATCACACATCATAATCCCTCATCTCCCAAGGCTGCAGGGTGTTGCTGAGCTTCCTTCATCAGAATCACACATCATAATCCCTCATCTCCCAAGGCTGCAGGGTGTTGCTGAGCATCATCACAGCTTCCTTCATCAAAGTCCTCTGCAGCTGGTTTGTTCTTTCAAAGCTCTGGGACATCTGAGCAGGGAAAGAGAGAAGGGAATTGCTCTTCAAGCCCTTATTGTCCTCAGTGTCCCAGGCAGTGCTTGCTCCACAGAATCACAGAATGGGTTCAGCTGGTTTGTTCTTTCAAAGCTCTGGGACATCTGAGCAGGGAAAGAGAGAAGGGAATTGCCCTTCAAGCCCTTATTGTCCTCAGTGTCCCAGGCAGTGCTTGCTCCACAGAATCACAGAATGTTGTGTGGTTGGAAGGGACCTCTGGAGATCATCTCCTCCAACCCCCCTGCCAAAGCAGGTCCACCCAGAGCAGGTTGCACAGGAACGTGTTTGGGTGGGTTTTGAATGTCTCCAGAGAAGGAGACTCCACCACCTCCCTGGGCAGCCTGTTCCAGGGCTCTGCCACCATCAAAGTGAAGAAGTTCCTCCTCATGTTTAGATGGAACTTCTTATGTTCAAGTTAGTGCCCGTTACCTCTTGTCCTGTAAAACTCCAGTTTGGGGGTTTAGCGAGCTCCGTGCGCTGGGTGTGATTTATCTGCTCAGCGTGCTGGGATCCAGCCTGCCTGGGGAATCCACAGCACCCCTCCCCTGCTGGGCTTTCTCTTCAGCTCTGCTGGGGGAGAACCAGGAGTCTGATAAACGTGTGTTCTTAGTGGCTTCCACAGAGAAACCTGTGCATCAGCATCGGGGTGAGCTGTGAACGCCTGAAGAGAGGCCAAGGACAGAATGGGATGTGCAAGGGGGGCTGCTCCTCTGAACCCTGGGGGGGATGTACCAGGGATCGGTGGGAGGGTCGCATTTTGTCCTGTCACCTGGTTCATGGTCAGCAAGATTTCGATCTCTGGGGCCATCAAGTGACCACCAGTCCCTGATGTGCGTTGTGAAATGACAAAATTTATCATAGAATCATAGAATGGTCCAGGCTGGAAGGGACCTCCAAAGGTCATCTAGTCCCACCCCCCCGCAGCCAGCAGGGACACCCCCAACTAGACCAGGTTGCCCAGGGCCTCATCGAGCCTCTCCTTGAATATCTCCAGGGAAGGGGCCTCAACCATCTCCCTGGGCAACCTGTTCCAGTGCTCCACCACCCTCACAGTGAAGAACCCCCTCCTGATCTCCAATCTAAATCTGTTCCCCTCCAGCTTGAAGCCATTGCCCCTCGTCCTGTCACTGCAGGCCTTTCTAAACAGGCTCTCCCCAGCCTTCCTGTAGGCTCCTTTCAGGTACTGGAAGGCTGCTATTAGGTCTCCCCGGAGCCTCCTCTTCTCCAGGCTGAACATCCCCAGCTCCCTCAGCCTGTCCTCGTAGCAGAGGGGCTCCATCCCCCTGATCATCCTTGTGGCCCTCCTCTGGCCCCTCTCCATCAGGTCCATGTCCTCCTCCATAACTTCTGTTATTTTTTTCCCTCCCCCCCTCAGCAAAAGACGAAGCGGCCATGGCAGGGAAAAGACTGCAGTCACTATCCCTTAACAAGTAAGCACAGGCCACGCCAAGAGGAGGAAACGCCAGGGGACTGTGCCTGGTGCCTGCCAGGAACTCCGTCGCGTTGCGTACCATCGATGCCACGTCGGGTGTCACCGCGGCATCGCCCTCACCTTCACCTCCAAGAGACACTGACGATGTGTTTGTCCTCATCCTGGCACAGATTTCCATTTGGGGTTAGGGGCAGCTGCTCTCTTTGGTGCAGAACTGTGCTGAACAGCAATTTCTCTGTAACAGTTTGGAAACCTGAATGTTTTTTTGCTGTTTTTAGGGTTAAGAACTCAATAGACAGGGGTTGGGGG